CAAGATTAACGTGGTGAAGCTTTGGACAGTTTTGAGAAAATATCCCCTTCGTTTTTCTCCCTCTTGCTCCTTCCACCTCTCCCTCTCCTGCCTCTGCTTCCCCTCTGTGCCCCACCCCCACCCCCACCTCGCGTTATTGGATTTCTGGTGTCCTCTCTTTAAGTCGGCACACGTACATGACAACCTGGACTAGTCGGTGCTCTGCTGTGTTGCTCATCCATGCCCCTGTCCTGCGTGCTCCTGTCAGCCCCGCCTGCACTGCATTTGTGTAATGTCTCCTGTGTGTCATGTGGTTGTCCCCTCAGTGTCTGAAGAGAGCCCCTCTGCCAGTGAGTCTGGAGTCCTCCTGTCCCAAGATCCTTCAGCCAAACCAGTCCTGCTACTGCCCCCCAAAAAACCTGCTGCTTTCTCTGGAGACCATGAGGAGACCCCAGTGAAGCAGCTGTCCCTTCTCAAGCAACCCCCCGCCCTGCCTCCCAAACCCACTGCCAGGATTGCCAACCACTTAACAGGTGAGTCAAGAGGTCTCTGGGGGCATGCAGCCCCCCCTTCCCTTCAAGGGATAATCTCTTCTCTCTTTCTTTTGACCTGAAGCCTGCTGTACCTCTTTGGCGAGTTGTTCTGTGGGAATGTGGGTGTTTCTGTGTGTGTCTTGGTGCGCGCAGTCGTGGCCTGGGTTTGTGTGTTTGTGTCAAGAAGCATTCGATACACACTTACCAGTCATGTGCCAAGAGCCTTCAATCGCATGTATCTGTAAACATGTATGTTGGTATTTATGTGACTAATTCAAGATTATTTGCCCATCTAGGTGAATTAGAGTCCATGTCAAAATCTTTACAAAGCTAAAGAATAGTATCGTATTTCCTTCATACTGAGTTTGTCAAAGTTTTTAAATGTTTGTCTTTAAATTATTGATCTGAAGCCCAACGTATTTCTTCTAGTAAAATTCATGTCTGTGCTGTCCTCTGAGTAATAAAAAAGCAAAGACAATATGCAAAGTATTGTGGGAAATACTTTTAAAAGACGAATAAGCTTAGGAATGGTGTCCTAAAACGATTTTTATATTTTCATTTTTAAAGTGTTACGTAATGAATGTACCCAATTCCATTCAATGTAGCTATTCAATTGGGCATTTAGTAAATTGCACTTGCCTTCATATTAGCACACGAATCAGATACCACTTTGTGATTTCAGGTTGTGGTATATCAGAGGTTAAAGATTTCAGGGGGTCATTTCTCCAGCCTTGATAGTAATCCCACCTGATACTGATCGGCTGCCTTTTTACAATTTACAATGTCTTTGGTATTTTTAAAGTTTCTGTTGATTTCTGTACATTTTTTATAAGCTGGAATGGGGGTAGAGATTGGAAAGAATATTCACTTATTTTATAGTAGAAAAACTGAGGTTCAGGAAAAATAAGCAGCTTTTCCAGGGCTGGCAGGAATTCTGCAGTAGAGCCACAATTAGACCCTGTGTTTCCCAGCTCCTAGTTCAGTGCACGTTGTGCTAGGGTAGCAGGATGCCTCTCATGTGATGCTAAGTTTTATTAGAGTCCAACTTAAACATAGGGTTGTGTCAAACCTATCAGTGTGTGCATTCATCCAAGTCAGATGTTTGTGGTTCAGAAGAGCAAATTTCCATCTAAAGGAACCATCCAGCACATTAGTAACACTGTAGATCAGTGCCCCAAAATTTAAATGCATAGAAAACCACAAAGGAGAAAATGCCCTCATCAGCCTCCTTCTAAGAGAGGCTCCACTGTCCATACACCTATCTAATAAAAATGAAATACTGCTAAACACAGTCTTTAATCACCTGCTTTGTGCAGTCTATATCTTGTGAACTGATTCTCATGTTAATGAATATTCTAGAACATGATTGGTGTAGATCAGGATTTACTTGATTGACCTCTTAGGGGCTTTCAATCGTCTCTATTGTAAAAAAAGGAAGGAAGGAAGGGAGGGAGAGAGGGAGGGGAAGGGAAGAAGGAAGGAAGGAAGGAAGGAAGGAAGGAAGGAAGGAAGGAAGGAAGGAAGGAAGTTATGCAAACCCAAAGTTGGTTTACACATCTAGAAAAAGAAAATACAGAAAAATAGCAAACATCCTCAACAGCATACATTTATCTTTATAAGCATCTCTGAGT